ACATGAATAGCAGGAGAAAAAATTCAAAAAAAAAAAAAATCAATCTTCCCATCAATGAAAAAAAAATCAATCTTCCCATCAACTGTTGATTTTATATGATACCATCTTGACTAATATTTTTTTAATGAAATACTGATAAAAATAAATTATTTGTTAAATATAAAGAAATGAAATATTTTTGAGGAAAAATATAATATTCAACATTGTAAATGTTACTTATGAGAAAAAGTCCAATATTAATTATTGATAAATTGATCGGTTGTTATTTATGAGAAAAAGTGTAATACTTATGAGAAAAATGTGATAGTTTTGATGAAAAATGTAATACTTTTGAATCAAAATATAATATTAAGGATTGTTAAGTTACTTATGAGAAAAATTATATTACTTATAAGATAAAATATACAGAGTAATATTTATAAAAAAAAAATATAGGCTCTGTTTGGTAAAATAGTTAGCTTATCTATTAATTTTGACTTATGTGATCACTATTAATTGTTGGACTTGGTTAAAAAATAATATAAATGTTTGGTTAATTAGCTTTTTGTAACTTTAAAATGCTAAAATTCAAAAAGTTGCGCAAAGTAACTTTTTCAATTAGTTTTTGATAAAAGAAATTATACAAAACAACTATCAACTATCAACTAATGTAAACCTCCTGGCGGCTTTCACAATTTATGAATTTTGGCGAAGGAGTTTGAGGATTGGGGTGGTTGAGATGTATAGTGATGTGAAGGGGATGACTATGATTGTGAGAATAATCACGTGAGCGAAGAATTCCGGGATCATATAAAATGTAAACGTTCCGCCGGCTTTCGCAATTTGCGGATTTTGGCGAATGAGTTTGAGAATTGGGGTGGTTAAGATGTATATTGATGTGAAGGGGATGACTATGACTGTGAGAATAATCCATGACCTTTGCATGTAATTGCCTAGCATTTCTACTTTCTTTGCTCCAACTGCTTGTCCAGAAAGGGTTTCCGTGCATTTCCCATTCCATACTGCAACCAAGTTTGATAATAGAAAAACTATTAAAATCTTTATAAAGTTTTCTCAAATTTCCTTACACTAAATTTTCATATACACTTATCTTAATTTGTAGGGTAACACTTAGACCCGTCAATCCGTGGAACGGGTCAAATATTTGATAAATGGGTCAATTTTTTTTATTTATTTATTATTTTTTTTTTAACCTCATTAATGAAAAATCTGACCTATCTCACGGATTGTGACCCGTGAGATGATCTCACACAAGTTTTTGCCTAATTTGTAATGAGGAATTGTTAGCTTTGTTTTAGATTTATAAACATGTATCTACTTGTCTTCAACTTCTCAATTTGCTTGTTAGAAAATTGATTTTTTATTTCTAAATAATCAATTTATGGTGATATTACAAATTTAAATATGTTTGGTTGCAAATTTCTCAAGTAGTTTAATATATAACTAGCCACAGTAATACTAGGATAAAATGAGGACATCTTAAAAAAAAAAAAAAAAATGGACTGTCACCTATAAATGTAAGATCAAAAATCAAAATAACTCTAAAGAGAAAATTTGTAAATGGTAATAATTAATGAAAAAATTTGTAAATAGTAATAATTAATGAATTGAGTCTACAATACGAGTATAATTAATGAACTAAAATGGTCAATTTCTCTGAAATCTAATAATATCAAATAGTACATGTGGAATATTTACTAGATTAAGTTCCTTTGTGCTCGTACATAAATTTGATAAAAGTTTTGTAATATATATAGATTTCAAAATTTTAAATATGCTAATAGCTAGCAGGCGGAATATATGTTAAATATATGTTAGTAATTGGGTGAATAAAGGACACATATATACATACCAATATCTCAAAAGCAAAGCCGGCAATAAGATTGTTTTTGACAGCGAAGGCGGCAAGTATTGGAAAACAAGAGTGCATATGGTTGGAGCGGCGAGGAGGAGCGGCGAGGTACCATAGCTTCTTCGATTCCGAATAGAATTCCCTCAAGAATTCCTTATCGTCCACGATCTGTTGGATATCACTTGCGTTTGCATCGAATGAATATACAGAACTCAAATTCTGTATTATTTGTGTTTAACTTGTGTGTTGTCAATTGATCATATAGTGTTTTTTTGTTCTGCAAGCTAGGCTATATATAAGCCGCCTAATTTGAATGATAGGATAAAGCTTTATATATAGTTGGAATCTTGCAATAACCTGGAGGCCATAATGGAGATAGTGGCATCGGAGATAGTCCGCTCAGAAGAAATCCGGCAGAGCTATTCTGGAATATTATTCAGTAGGAGAATATAGAATATATACATATATAGGTAGAGATCAGATGTCTTATTACAAGTAAACTATAGCTATGCTAGTAGAGTCCTAATAGAGATAATGAAAACCTATCACCATGGCAGGGAAGGGGTGCTCATAGCTTCTAGGAAAAGTATTTTCAATTTTTTCTCTATGGAATGATAATAATGATAAAGCTAGGAAAGAAGTTTGGAACATTATATATTGGGGCCTTTTATATAAGATATAATTATTTGCAAAATTAATTACAGAGAATTAGCCCCTCAATTGTTTTACTTTTGAAAATTTAGTCCCTATCAATTGATTTGAACACATCTAACTCTTTAATTGTTCATTTGGTCCCTCATATTATATAATTAGAATTTTTTTTAATAATTTATATAATTTATTTATTCAAAATTAAAAATATTTTTTTTATAAATAAATACATAAATTATATATATATATATATATATATATATATATAAAAACAGCCACCGGCTGTCCACGCCGGAGAGCCGATGGCTGTTTTCTTCACGGAGACGGCCATGACCGTCTTTTAGATCTGGAACGAGGGCTACGGTCATGGCCGCCACCCCCGTTTTCTAGACGGAGGGGACTGGAACAAGGGCGGCAGCCATGGCCGTAGCCCTCGTTCTAGATCTAGAAGACAGCCACGGTCGTCCTGTCGGACAGCCGGTGACTTTTTTTTTTTTTTTTTAAATAAAATTTTTTTTATATTATGTATTTATTTATAATAAAAAAATTTTAATTTTGAATAAATAAATTATATCAATTATTAAAAACAATTCTAATTATATAACACGAGGGACCAAATGTGCTACATTATGAATAATTAAAGGGTTAGATTTGCTCAAATCAATTGACAGGGACTAGATTTTCAAAAATCAAACAATTGAGGGACCAAAAATGCTGTTTTCCTTAATTATATAACACATAAAAAGCCACGCACAAACGAACTCTTACCAAATGTATAGCATGAGCTTGTGATGTGCAACAAATTGTTGATAATTAGTTAGCACATGTCTATCATGCATTCTTGTCATTTTAAAGAAAATTTAATTTTTTTTAAAATAAAAATATTGAAACTGATGGAAACAAATGTCAAAGTAACGGTGTTAATTTTAAATTTTAATCTTATCGAATACTGAAGCACATAAAATGAACTATCAAAATAAAAGTAAATATATTAAATTATTAAACAAAATGTTTATTGTAAAAAACTCCTTTTATTTACATTGATCTGTTTGTATGCAATTAATTATAAGCCATTTTTTTTTTATTTTTATAATAAGTTAGTACATTCAACCAATTCATGACACCCAATGATAATTATAACTCTGTAAGCATTGAAAATTTAAATAATATTGTTGGACCGTGGTGGGTAATTGATTGCTAAATTAATTACTTTAATTGAGTTAATTGGAATAATATTTATTTAATTGGGTTAATTAAATGGCCCATTAAATAAGTAATTGGTTTGATTACTTAATTAAATGTAATTGAATGTTGGATTATTCGGCCCAAGTTGGTGGAATATTTAATTGATTCGGACCAGACTGCTTGGATGAATTGGGTTGCCTAATTAGCGGGTTTGACTTGGTCTTGGCCCACCAAAATTATACGTGGATTATATAATTTTGAGAAAATTGGGTTATTTGGTATTATTTGAACTTTAATGGAATGATGAACCTGGACGCAATGGTGTCCCGATGCATTCCTTAATTTAATTAAAATAATTAAATTAAATAAGGAATTAAGAGTTGGTTGGAGATTTTCCCTCACTCTCACCACTATAAATAGTGGTTTCATTTTCAAGAATGGGGGGCTGGAAATCTGCATATCGAAGCTCTGCCGAAATCTCGTCAGGATATCGTCTGGAACACGCCCGCAGTTGTACATACGCGCTGAGGAACACGCCACTTGAACATCGGAAGCCCTTCTTTGAAGATCAAGCCGCGCTGAGGAACACGCCACTTGAACACCGGAAGCCCTTCTTTGAAGATCAAGCTGCATACTAGCCCTTCATTGAGGAACAAGTTACTAACTCCGGAGGCCCTTCAGCAAGGAACTACTCCAGTTCGGCACACTCCCGAACTCGGCATACATCCAGTTCAACATACTTTAAACTCGGCATACCTCCAACAAGGAACATGGAACAAGGAACTACTTCAAGTTCAACATACTCTGAACTCGGCACACTTCCAATTTGGCATATTCCAAATTTGGCACACATCTAATAGGCATACTTCTAGTAGAGAATCAGAGGACTTCTCATATACAGAGATTGTACCCCTTCTTGATTGATACATACTACTTGTAACCGATACTTTGAATTTTGAATATATACAATTCAAGTTTTTCGCGTTTACAAACTCATTTCAGGAGAGAAAGATTTTGGAGGAGAACAAAGCATTTTCCGGTGTTGAAATGTAACAAAATGAAATAGAACTACAACACTTATCTCTGTAGTTTAAACTTGTGACCGAATTTGTTAACTGAGACACGAATAATTTTATAAATGTACCATAATTGTCTTGAACTGAAGGCCAACTAGTGGATGTGACACATGAACTTGACGAAGATAAATTTAGAGAGTAATATAATACTGCACAACGAATCAATAAGAAAATTCTCACTTAATTGATAAATAATCGAAATTGGATTCTTTCATAATTTCATGAAACCATTGCAATCTGAGTTTACATATTAAATTAACATAAGACATCAATTCAAATGAGAAAACCAAAAACACCCTAACTACGAAGTGCTTTGAACTGGCTGTGAATCTGAATCCCCTCCCCATTTCTTTATCCTTTCTCCAGCAAGCAGAGCCTGCATGCATTTAAGCATAAATCAAAGGCTCAGTGAGCTCATCATCATGGCTGTCCAATGAGAATTCAGAAATTAAATCAGAAGCTTAATTAACAAGTTCAATAATGAAAATTTACCTCCTTCTTCCAGTTAGTTCTTATGACCATAACTGTTAGAACAATGGTTTGAACTACAGTTCCTGTTAACATTCCATACCAAATACCCTACAATCATATCATTCAATCACAATAAGCTTTCAGGTAGAGCTCTCTAGTCTATCATCATCTTATAACATTAGTTAAGTGGATAATTGCATGCACGGGCTTAACTTAATGGTTCAGTAGGCAGTATTTGGCAGAAGAGACCAAAGTTCAAATCTCGATAGCAGCAGTGTGGGAATTATGCTCAAAGTGGACAGATCCCTTGTACAGGTGCCCTGTCTGCTGAGCCATTATTGAGTCACTCTGCTCTGTCGGGCAGAAGTGTGGGCCTATATATAGTTCGAGAAATTATAACAAAAGCATATGTATATATATACTATACCTTGACACCCTTTCTAACGGCAAAGCCTAATACCAGACCAATAGGAATGCCCACAAAGTAGTAGCAAACTATGTTCACATACGCTACATAGCTTTGCCACCCTGCTCCAATGGCTACCCCTGCCAATTCAAAATGATGATAGATTATAAGGTGAATAAAAGATCAGATCAGAAGACATGACAGGAAGATATATAAGATTTTTGAACAAACCAGAGAGTGTTGGCTGAATGCTGTTAAGCATAATGGTGATTCCTAACAATGGTGTGAGATCATATACAACTTGCTGTACTGATGAGCTTTTCGAAAACAATGGCGGATATCGGCTTCTAAGGGCAATTGGAATGAGTCCCAGGATGATTCCGATGAACAAGGAAGTCGTTGTCGCCACAACTACACAAAATTTTGCTGTTCTAGGATGTCCTGCACCTAGCTCGTTCGACACCCGAATGCTGCACAGATAGATTATAGGGGTGTTTGGTAAATAGTTATATTAGGAATAATGTTCAAATTGAGCATTGAACGTAACATGAAAATACAATTAGGCCACTGAACAAAAGAAAAAAAGTGCAATTAGGTCATTGAACACTCCAAAAATGTGCAATTAGGTTATTGAACATTTCAAATGTATGCAATTTCACCGGATAGCAGGTTACCTACTTACGTGGCAGCTGAGTTGGCATTTTAAATAATTTTTAATAAATAAATAAAAAAAACGATGGGGTGGCCATCTTCCTTCGTCTCTGCATTATTAAAATTTATTAAAAATTATTAAAAGTGTCAACTCAAGCTGCTACGTATGCAGGTAACCTGCTACAGGTAAATTACATACATTTAGAGTGTTCAGTGGTCTAATTGCACTTATCCGTTCAGTGACTTAATTGCATTTTCAGGTTACGTACAATGGTCAATTTGAATCTTATTCTTAGTTACTAACTGATACTTGATTGCGTTACTGAATTTGACTAGTTGATAGCTGATTGTAGAAAGATGTTTGGTAAATTAGTTATTAGCTGATAGCTGATTCACCTTTGAAGGTACATAATCTTGATCATGATCCATAATGTGAATGGAAACCATAATTGATTTAATTTGTGCATAATCTAATAGCCATCCGTAAAAGATTAATATTTTAAAAGAAAAAAATTATTGGTACATTAACATTGTTTAATTTATTGATACCTTGTGGCTGCACAGAATCCAATACCCACCATTATCGTCCATGCTGAAATGTTCAAGCTGCGAATGAACACTATACATTAGAATATATAGTACTATTTTCACATAAAATTGTATACAAGTTTACATATAAGCTATTGTGATTTTACAAGTATTGATACAGTAGGGGGGTGGCGTGAGATCCCCCTTTCCCCCACATGAGACGAAGGCTGAGCGGGGCGGGGAAGGGGTGGCCGGCGGCACCCAGCGCTCTTTATTATTATTATTATTATTATTATTATTATTATTATTATTATTATTATTATTAAAAATGACAACTTATTATCCACATATGTAGACAATCTGATGAAATGTGGGATAATCTGCTATCTGGTGAGATTGCATATATTTGAAGTGTTCAGTAACTTGATTGCAATTTTTTTCGTTCTGTAATGGTTATGTTTAGGGGTCAATTTGAACCTTATTCCTTAAATAAATTTTACACATTCTTAATTATTTAGGAAAAAGAACACAACAATTTCTAGTTTCAAATCAAATAACGACTCTCTTACATTTCAACAAGGAACTAAATTCTTAGTTAACTCGAACATTTTCAAGTCAAAGTGCAACTAAGCATGATATATAACATTTCACTTTCTAAATTCTCATAGAAGTTCAATCTTTATTGATTATTAAACGACCTCTTAATGTGTTATATGTCAGAATTGTTGGTTCAAAATTATTATCTTTTAGTTGAAAAGTGATAAAATTTACTTTAAATATGTTATGTGATACTTTCACTATTAGCTTTTAACTAAAATATAATACTTTTAAAAATATATTATTTTAAAGTTGAAATGTAATACTCTGTACTTTTTAAAAGAACTAATTTCACTTTTGGTCCCACGACTTTAGAGGTTCTATCACATATGGAGTATTATTTTTCTAATCAATTTCATAAGCTAAGATCTCTAAGACGTCTTACACATCTGTAATTTTTAAAAACTAATCACATTTTTGTTCCTCAAATCAATTTCACGGGCTAATATCACTAAGGTAGTCTTACACATATTTGTATTATATGTATTTGTCATTAACAAGCTTCGAACCTCGGCGCAGTGTGGAAATTATGTTCAAAGTGGGCAGATCACTTGTACGCACAAGCATTTAGCCCTGTCTACTGTGTCATTGAATCACCATATGTGATTTACATTCAACCTCCCAAATGTTCTGTTAGGCCGGGGTGTGCATGACCCTTGGGGTTGAGAATTTAATCTTTTGGGACAAAAAGATTTTAACAAGACTAATCTATTAAAATCACAACATGCATCAAATTTTTTTTCATACGTTATTTACATCTAACCTTGCTCAATACATCATTTTCATTGAATCATGGGTTTCTAAAACGAAAATAAAATAACTCACCATATAGAAGCTGCATCCACTGAAATTTCTGCGTTCTTAGTGTATCCAGCAATAAGAATAAGCGCCACATAATACCACATTTCTAAGCTTCACGAATATCCAAAATATAGTAATTAGGGGAAACATTTAAGACTATGTAAAAATCATATTAATTAATAGTTAATTCTCCAGGAAAGGCGACCAAGTATGCTCATCTTCTTCTAGTGTAGAAGGCGACCAAAATGGTCGCCTTTGTCTTAGGATAGCAACCAAAATGGCCGCCTTATACTGGAGTTGAAAAAGGCTAAGCTACTCGATCGACGTTGGTCGCCTACTCTAATGACCTGCTATTACAAGTTAGTATTTTATTTTTAAGTTTTAATGCATTAAAATAACATGTTGATAGATTTAATTGCATCTTTTGAAAATTTAAGAGTTTTACAAGAGGTTCATCGGAACTCTAGTGACCTGCTATTACAAGTCAGTATCTGATTTTTAGGTTTGAATGCATCAAAATAATAGGTTGATAAGTTTAATTGCACCTTTTAAAAATTTAGGAATCTAATTGATTTTGAATGAAGTTTAAGAGTATAATTTCACCCTTTTTCCAAACAAGAATTGATACTAAAAATTTACCAAAGCATTACTCCGGATGCAAGAGATAGGCGAAGATATCCCTTAAGATTCCCAAAGGCCTTCCAAGAGAATCCATTCCAAGTTTCCCGACAAGCTCCGGAGAAAACGTAAACGAGCTGCGCCACCGCTATGAACCACCATGTGGCATTCAGCACCGCCGCTCCACCCGGCAGCCCCCACTGCAACTTGAGCATAAACAGCCAACTAAACAAGACATGTCCAACCAGAGCCACGGCTGAAATAGTAGCCAACACATAGATCTTGCTCTGTGCTTGCAAGAACTTCTGGGTAGGAAAACAAACTATGTATGCGAAGAGCTGCGGAATCATCCACAATGCGAACGTCCCGGCGGCTTTCGAAATCCGTGGGTTCTGGTGAAGAAGTTTGAGGATTGGGGTAGAGAATATGTATAATATTGTGAGGGGTAGGCCTGTGGCTATGAGAATAACCCATGATCTTTGCATGTAAATGCCAAGCATTTCTAGTCTTTTTGCTCCAAATGCTTGCCCACAAAGTGTTTGTAGTGCACTTCCCATTCCATACTGCCAAAAAGTTCGATAAATAGCGAATTATATTAGAAGATTGGTGTAATTTTTTTGAGATGAGGAATGCTAAAGGTAATAGTGTTTCATATTAGATGATTGTTTTCATTTAGTCTAAACATTTACTTTACTCACCAGTTCATAAATTTCTCAAGACAATTTAAAACTTCAAAGTTAATTATGTTGGGTTTATGATTAACGGGTAGTCGACGCGGGCCAACACTACCATTAATATAAGATAAGCATTGAGAAAAATTGATAGAACAATATAATCAAGGGTAAGCACTTTATTATGAGAAATTGGATCCGTTTTAACCTTTACGAGTGGATATTTATACCGAGAGAGACTCAAGAGTCCTAAAAAGAAGTTCAATGTTGAGTTGCCCCATGTTAGAAATCCTTATTACATTAAGGATAGGTAACTCAGTCCTATTACGCCACGAATTAGCCCAAGATGTCTCGCTCCTGCCAGTGTTAGGGTATGGACCGTGGGCCCCACCTCACCTATATAGTCCGATGGCTTATTGTGGCATGACCATTTTTAGCATTTATTAACAAAATAGTTTAAATATCGTTAAATACAATGACATTTTGGTCTTCATTATGGAGTTTTTTTTTTAAAAAAAAAAACATAAAAATATAGTTGTTTTACCTACTTTAATTTGTATTAAAAAAAAAGATTGAAATATTTTTATATTTAACGACATTTCAACGATTTTGTTGATGGAGGACTAAAAATGATCATGCCACAATAATACTAAGACCAAATAAAGATGTTTTCATAAAAAATGACTAAAAGTTTGACTATCACATATAAATCTATAACCAAAAATAGAATCAACTCTATTTTTTACTTAAAATATAATATTTTTTTTATAAATTAACAAATATTACATTTTTAGTTAAAATATTATTTTGATATTTAAAAGTATTTGTAAAAATTTAATACTTATTAACTTATAAAAATCATATTTTTATTAAAAAATATTACATATTTGAACTTTGGAGCTAATAAACATATGCAAATACTTTCTCCTTACTAAATTATTGGTGGGACAATCTTACACAACATTCACCTTTAGTTATACAATTTACAAGCCCCCCACCCCTCCCCCCACCCCACCCCTCTCACCGAAAAAAAAAAAAAAAAAAAAAAAGAAAAAAAAGTGGGAAGAGAAAAAGGAAGACTTGGTGAAGTTGACTGGTGACCCCACTTTTCAGTTTTTATATAATTGAGCTAAAAGACAAAAGAGGGTAGGACATATTGGGATATTGATCACAGAAAAGGGGCCCGCGAGACTGCTGCACTTGAGATATGCTTCATTCATTTAATAGTTTTTCATTTTTTTTTTTTGAAATATCATTTTGTTAGTTTTAATGATTGTTAGCATCACTGAAAATAATTTTTAAGAAAAATGTAATTTTCCACTCTAATTTTTTCTTAATATTTTTCCTCATAATGCGATCTATAATTATTGAGTGTTATGAATTAACTTATCCCATTTACTTTTAATTAAACATTATACTAACCAATTAGGTAGTTTCATGTCCAGAGAAAAATATGGAAGAAAATTCTAATTTTAATTGTTAAGAGAATGCATATCATTTGTATACTAAAACATTAATACTAAAGTAATATTTATCACTTTCATACCACAAAAAAAAAAAAAAAACTAATACTTTTAAATTAATATTTATCACTTTTCCCTGCCAAAAACTAATACTTTAAAAGTAATTACTTTTATACAAAAAATTTATACTTTTAATGTGATACACTAATACTTTTACATTATTACTTAGTACTTTTTATTTACCAAAATTTAATACTTTAATTATTATTCTTTAAAAAGTTCAAGATAGGTGCTTATACTTGGCAAATTATGCCGTGGAACCGTATCCATGTTACAAGGTGGATATGGTTCTAAAACTGTTCATAAGTATGAATATATAATTCAAAAATTATGAACATATAATTCTATAATTATAAACATAGAGTTGTGAACATAATTATGAACATATAGTTCTGTAATTATGAATATAGAGATTCAATAATTGTGAATATGAAGTTCAAAAATTTTGAATATATAGTCTTATAATTATGAACATATAGTTCAGTAACTATTAACATAGAGTTATGTAATTGTGAATATAAAGTTCAATAATTATGAATATGAAGTTCAAAAATTATGAATATATAACTTTATAATTATGAACATATAATTCAGTAATTATGAACAAAACCGTGTCCACCTTGCCAGTCACTACAGTTTTATCAAGTCATCACAATTGCTTCTTTATCGAAACATTACTATAAATAAATTCATAAACTTATACTACTATATGTTTATCAATTTACTGCTCCTCTAAATCCATCAAGTCAGTACTACATGCACATTAAACCGCTATTACACGTTCATTAATTAACAGTATTGACACGAAGGTCTCACTTTCCTGTCAAATTACAGTTCTTCCATTCCAATAACCAGATGAAAAATGATTTACGAATGATTTATGGCAAAAATTAGCATCTAATGAGGGGATACATACCAAGATGGCGAAGGCAAAGCCAGAAATAAGATTGATTTCCACGGCAACAGCTGCGAGTTGAATGTCTCCGACATGGCCGGCAAAGATCTGAGTGACGGCACTGACGGAGTATTGGAAAACAAGAGTGCATATGGCCGGAGCCGCGAGATACCATAGCTTCTTCGATTCCGAACAGAATTCTCTCAAGAATTCCTTCGCGTCCTTAGTCTGCTGGATATCACCTGCATCTGCATCGAATGAATATGCAGAACTCATATTCTGTATCCTCTGTGTGTGTGTTGTCGTCAATGGATTAAGATTAGATTTTATTCATAAGCAAGCTAGCTTATGTTTAAGCCTTCTAATCCTTATGAGATCGAGGAGGTTTAAATTAGAAGCAAAGCTTTTATAGCTATAGTGACAGGAGCTGTGACATGAGACTTTCAATCCTTATAACATGGACTAGGGTTGACAGGGAACAAATAAAATCAAAATACGTTGCACAATTCACAACATCGGATTGCACAACTCACACCACTGGGTTGCACAATTAATACAATCTTGCCTCTAGGTGAACCGGGAACAAATAAAATCAAAAGACATTGCATATAACCCACACACGGTGGGTTGTACAATCTACAACAACGGATTGCACAACTCACACCATTGGGTTGCATAATCATATTATCTAGAATGCATATATAAATAAATAAATAACCATGTGTGTGTATATATATATATAGACAATGTTATACTCACCAAAAAACAAGTGAAGAAAATAAAAAATATTTGAGTCACCGTGATTTATATCTTTTCACATGCTCGGTCGGAGTGTGGGGGTCTTGGGGTTGGGGATTCAGGCTTTTGGGACAAAAAAATAAAAAATATTGGTCACTTTTTAAGGACAAAAACTCGATCAGTGAATTGTGGCTCAAATTCGTAGCAAGAATGCTCCACAAAAATAGAGAACAAATTAAGAAAATTTTGAAAAAAAAAAATACACTACTATTCCTATTTAAAAATAAAGATGAATACATGTGATCTTATGAAATCAAATCACACAAAATTAATTTACATTTCTTACATGGTGATTAATTCTTATTTGATCATAATTATATATATATATATATATATATATATATATATATATATATATATATATATATATATATATATATATATATATAATACTCCGTAATAGTTAAAGGGTAAAGTTGTAAATTTTTAATTAGCTAATGATATGCGTTTATTGTGCTCGATAAAGTAGCTTCTTTCTTCTTCTTTTTTCAATTTTCAAAAAAAAAAAAAAAAAAAAAAGTAGCTTTTTCAAAAGCTATATGGAAAGCTTGAATTTGATAGATGAATGTTCATTAATATATTGTTGACCCCTTGACCTGATTGCCTACAAAGGCGAGTCTAAAGAGATTTTTGGGTAACGATGTCAGCAACAAGTTATACGAATACATCATCATGATGTGGTAAGGGGAGCAGAAAACGATAAAGTATTTATGACACGTATAGTTTACGGAATGAATTTGGAGGGAATATAAATGTTATTCCTTAGAGAATAGAATATGTAAGGAATAAAATTATTTTTGTATTTTTGTACGCATATATTTTATTAAAATTTTAATTATAAAAATTTATGGTAATTTTAAAATATGATATGGGGCCTTCATTTTGCACTTGCCCTGGGCCTATAGAACAATAGGACTGGCCCTGATAAAATATGAATTGTAATTTTGTTTGGTTCGCGGAAGGAATAGACTTTAAGAAATGTATTTCAACGTTTGGTTGGTTAAAGGAATAATAGAAATTGAATATATGTTTAAAAGACATAAATGTCATTCTACAAAATATATTATTATTATTAGGCACATGTGTCAAATAGGTCCATCTACTACTGTGAAGTGCTCAATCCCCACAACGAACTAAATTAAGTGTCAAATAGGCTCATCTACCAGCTAAATTTGTTCAATTAGCTTTTTTAAAGGTTAGCTATTTATTAATTATTAAAAAAAATAAATAAAATAAAATAATTAAAAAATTAAAAAGAGATAATATCACCACTTCCACTCGACGAAAATCAGTCCGGCTGTGTTTCGCCATCACCCGAGTTCGCCAGTTGTCGAACAACCAGACCAGCAATTCCTCCTACAATTCGCACTGCTACCAATCCTCGTTCTCTTGCCCATAACCGACTAGGACACCCAGCCTTAATAAATTACGACTACTTGTCCCAAATTTGTCTCAATTATCTACCCTAGAGTGTGAAGCCTGTCAACTTGGCAAACATTCTAGAACATCTTTTCCAAATCATGTTAATAAAAGAACGGCTTACCTTTTTTCCTTAGTCCATACTAATGTTTGGGGACCTTTTCATTATAATTCAATTCTTGTTTTGAAATACTTTGTTACATTTACTGATGATTTTTCTCGTAGTACATGAGTCTTTTTAATGCGAAACCGTTCTGAAATGCTTAATGTTCTTCAAAAGTTTGTCAATGAAAAAACAAATCAATTTGGAGTGTCTATTAAAGCATTACAAAGTGATAATGCTAGAGAATATTTTACAACTCCATTATGTAACTTTCTTGATTTAGCAGACATCCTCCATGAGTCATCATGTCTCGATACTCCCCAACAAAATAGAGTATCAGAACTAAAAAACTGACATCTTGTTGAAACAGCCTGCACCATGATTCTCCATTATAAAGTTCCTTGAGAGTTCTGAGCAGATGTTATCCTTCATTCATGTTATTTAATAAATCATATGCCGGCCTGCATCTATTTTACATGGTAAGATAGCGTATAATATTTTATTTTCCAATAAATTATTACGTACATGTAGGATGACCACTGTTCGATTTGAACCGAACTGAACACTATAGCAATGGAACTGAAACAGCAGGGACAGTTCTTCTTACGATTCAGAACTGAAAAAAATAAAATAATTGTTGAATTTAAACTATTTAAAAAATAGAAAATATAATTTACAAAAAAATAAACAAATAAATAAATAAAAATTTAGAAATTCTGTTTCCCGTTTCAACTGTTAACTTCTAAAACAAATCTCATGTTTTGAATGTACATAATTGTATAATAGAATACACATAATCTTTTTTGAAAGGATAATACACATAATCTAACATAATACATAATACACATAAACTCTTTAACATAATACACATATGTTTGAGCATATAATCATTAATGTGCAATCCAACTATTGGCTTAGGCTTTTAGTTGAGATGGATCGGAGCACATGCTTTAATTTGATATCAAAGTTAGTGTCTTGTAAAACATCATGTATAAATCCTTAAATGTTCCTGCTACATGATTTTTTTTTGGTGAAATTGAAGCCCTCCCAAGAGAGCATTATCTAACCCTTAGAAAAGGAGTGTTGCAGGCATCAGCAAGAAGCAGGTTGTGCAGATCAACCGGAGGGTCTTCGAGGAAGCTTGTCCCCCAATCCGCCTCCTGACCCCGATTGGCCAGCCAGTCCGCACATTTGTTCCCTTCTCTATCAATATGAGAGATCCGAGTAACCGTGATCCTTTCCATTAGATCCAAGCAATCTTTAACGAGGGTATCTAACGTGTCCTTACGAGTAGCTTCGCTGGTCAGAATGGCCACCACCGCCGCTGAGTCCATTTCCACCCACACCCTATCCAGGCCTTCTTCCAGACAGAGCCGTAGACCCTCCCTCAGGCCCCACAGCTCCGCCGAGAAGCTATCTGTAAGCCCGATTTTTGTCACAAAACCCTTAACCCAATTCCCCTGAAAGTCACGAATGAGACCCCCGGCGCTAGCCATACCTGTGTTAGCTTTCATAGCTCCGTCCGTGTTCAGCTTCATCCACCCTTGTTGAGGTTTCTCCAAAGAAACCCATTTCTGATGACCATGCAACGTGTTTTTGTGTTTGGCTATATAACACCGCGCCTCCATTGCCATGTTGCATGCTGATTTGATAATGGACGCCGCATTGACTCTGTTGTTGTTGAAAATGAGGTTATTTCTTGCCTTCCAGACATGCCAAAGAACATAGCAGAATGTCGAATTCCAGGCTGTTCCATTATGCATCATGCTCTTACTTTGGCAGTTCTTTTTTATCCAAGCATTAACCGGCAAGAATCTATTAAGGTCCACTCCTCCACTATCTTTAGCCATCTCCCAACATTGCACCGCAAGTGGACAATCCCGGAAAAGGTGAGACAACGACTCATCATCGTTCCCGCAAGATACGCACGACCCATCCATCGTCAGGTTGCGTTTCACCCTTTCAGCATTTGTTAGCAGTTTACCTTTGAGCAAGAGCCACAGGAAAGTTTTGACTTTTTCCACCACGTTCATCTTCCAAACCCACGTCCAGTTTTCCTCGTCGCTTGGCGTACCTGCAATGAGAGAGTAGGCAGCTTTAACAGAAAACATACCTGAGTTGTGTGTTGGCCACACGATTTTGTCGGGGGTGCTTTCATCCACTGGTATAGGTGTAGTTCTGATTGTGTTGATGATCCGGTCGGGGAGGAACACAGTCATAGCTTCCGTATCCCAGTTGCGATCCACTGTAATAAAATCGCTCACCCTTGCATTCAAGTAGGAGGCCGGGATGTCGATATTTTGTTCTAGCCCTAGCGGTTTGTCGTTAATCCACCAATCGGACCAAAAGTGTAGGGATTCGCCATTCCCCACTCTCCACCTGGCCCCCGTTTCCATGGTATCTCTTCCTTTGAGAATGCTTTTCCATCCCCAGGAGGCATTCGAGGGGGCTGTGGCCGTGAAAAAATCCCCAGAGGGAATATATTTGTTTCTTAAAGCATTGACCCAAAGTTTCTCCGGGTTGTTCATAACTTGCCAAGCTAGCTTCGCTAGGAGTGCTGCATTGAAATCTTTCGCCTTGCGGAGGCCCAGGCCCCCGGTGTCTCGGGGCGTGCACACTTCATCCCAGTTGACAGGGTGAATTTTTCTCGTTGCTTCAGTTGATCCCCAAAGGAAGTCCCTGCAAATTTTATCGATATCATTACAAGTACCTGTAGGTAGTGCCGTGGTTTGCATGGAGTATACTGGGATCGTAGCTAGAGCTGATTGGACAAGAACTCTTCGTCCTGACAGGCTTAAGAAACCCGCTTTCCAGTTAGCCAATTTCCTCCTCATGCTGTCTAAAATATAGGAAAAATGCCTCTTTGTCACTCTTTTATGTAGGATGGGGATCCCCAAGTATTTCCCCAGATTCTCGGTGATGGGGATATTTGCCGTGGAACCCACCAGACGCTTTAACCTGTTAGGAGTATTAGAGGAGCAATAAATAAGCGACTTAGTGAGATTAATGTGTAAACCTGATTGCCGGGAGAAGTTTTCCAGGCAACCCATGATGACCTTGATTTGCGATTCAGTAGCATCCCCAAAAAGCATCAGGTCGTCCGCGAAGAAGAGATGTGATACTGCGGTACCTCCTCTATTCATGACGATCGGTTTCCATCTTCTTTCATTAATTTCCAGTTGGATTTTCATGGACAGTTTCTCCATAGCCAAGATAAAGAGATAGGGGGCTAGAGGATCCCCTTGTCTCAAGCCTCTCTCAGGGGTAAAGGCGGGTAGTTTTCCTCCATTCCAAAGAATCCCAATAGAACTTTCTTTCAAGGAAAAAAGGATGAGACTGATCAGCTGCGTGGGAAAACCAAAGTCCTGCAGAGTGTGTTTGAGGAAAGACCAGTCTATACTGTCATAGGCCTTGTGTAGGTCTATTTTCATCACAAGGGACCCTTTTTTTCCTTTCTTCTTTCTCATGCCATGCATAATTTCCTGAGTCAGCACAATATTGTCCAAAGTTGATCTACCCGGCAGGAAGCTATTTTGGTGGGGTCCCACCAGTTTGTCCATCAGAGGTCTCAACCTGTTAACAACCACTTTGGAAATGATCTTAAAGATCACATTAAGCAAGGTAATCGGTCTAAAATCCGCCGCAGATTCAGGAGCGTCCTTTTTAGGTATGAGCGTAATAAAGGAGTCAAGAATACTTACCGGGACCTTACCTGTTACCAATGCTTGATTTACTAGGTCAGTGATGGCGGTACCGACCACGTCCCAAAAATCTTGGTAGAAGACTGCCTGGATTCCATCAGGGCCGGGCTCCCCATCCTTTTCATGCCAAACACAGCTTTCCTAACTTCCTCTACATCCGCCAGACGGATTAGGTTTGCCGCTTCATTTGTGTTCAAGCTATAGCCGTGGTGACTCTCCGAGGTGGTTTGACCCATCTGATTATTTCTGCGAAATAAACTAGAGAAGAACTCGGTGATATGATCTTTAAGAATAATTGGATCAGACGTCCACTCACCATTAATTTTGAGCGCCCGCACCCTTCCTCTACTTCTTCTAATCACGGTTGATTTGTGGTAGTAATTAGTATTCTTGTCCCCGTCTTCAATCCAGGCTCTTCTTGATTTTTGAAACCAAAGCAGTTCCTCTTGAGCTAGGGTCGAACTGAGCTCCTTCATGAGCTTCTGTTCTAGGTTTTGGAGTCCGCGAGCATTGTTGTACCAAGGTGACGATTGGATCCCTTGGATACGGCTCTGAAGGAGATTTTTTCTTTTAAAGATGTTACCAAACACCTCTTGGTTCCACTTCTTACTCTGTGTCATGACATCATTAATGACTCCCACCACATCCCCCATTCTACCGTTCCAAGCATTAATCCAGATGTCTTTGTAGTCGGTACGGGTGAGCTAGGCTGCTTCGAACCGGAAAGGTCTATCGTTTCTGTCCGGCGTCGTACCTGCTACACTGATAAACGAAATAGGGTGATGATCCGAGTGGGTTCTGGCATGGACCCTAGCCTTGGCTTCGGGGAAGATATTCTGGGCATCTAGATTCCAAAAGACTCTATCAAGCTTTCTTCTAGTAGTAACCCGGCCGCCAATCTGCCTTAACGAGGTAAATTTTGGCCCCCACGAGCTGACCTCCATAAGCCCACAATCCTCAAAAGCTTCACAGAATCTAGTAAGGTTGTTCCCATTGACTTGGTCACTCCCCCAATGTTCGTTGAGATTAGCAATATCATTAAAGTCTCCTAGTAATATCCAAGGGCCAGACCGAGAATTACCGAAATCTTTGCACTCTTTCCAGAACAATTCTTTGGCCCTGATGTTAGGCCGAACATAAGCAAACGAAATATAGAGTTGACTTACCCCACCATCATTAACCTTACAGTGGATTGTCTGAGTGTTGTTTCTCACCACCTCAAGGTCGAGAATGCTCGTGTTCCAAACCAGGAGAAGGCCTCCTGCAAAGCCAAGGGTATTAACCATAAACGAATTATCGAAACCCAACTTACCAAGCGCCTTAAGCAGGTTGTCGGCCTTATTGGTTTTGGTTTCCAGGAAACAAATTGCCCCCACTTCCTTTTTAGCTAAAAGGAGTTTGGTGTGACGTAAAGTTTCGCGGTTACCAATACCCCGACAATTCCAGGAGATGACAATCATTGGGAACTATCACCGGGCAAGGGAGTTGAGACACCGCCTCCCTCACGCGTAAATCCGGTTGTGTGATCTCCTTTGTCCTTATCAGTGGAATTATCCGTCCAACAATTCCCTGGAATAGAGCCAAAGACGAAAACATTCTGCTTTTGTTGTCTAGCAACATCCCCAAGATTTTTCTCACTGTTTTGGAACCGACCAGCTGTCAACCTAGCATTAGCTCCCTTTCCCACCTTCTGCTTGTGATTAGCTTTAGAGTTGGGTTTGGGGATGGCAGGAGCTTTGTCTTTTTGTTTCTTCCTGGCCTTCTCACGAACATTCCTCCCCTCATCTACAACGAGGATTGGTGTGTCGTGAAGATCCCCTTCATCCTGCAACACAGTAAAATGATTATTATCAACAAAAGAGGGGGAAGGGTTACCAATGTTGACACTGTTGGCAGTAGGTTCTGCATTTTGTTTCCTCCCTCCACCATCCGCTGATTGATTCCCCTTAGTGGGTTTGCGATTACTCGCCCGCGGTTTAGTTGGCGGCTTAGGACCCTGAACTTTCTCCCCTTCCTTCGCTTTAGAATGCTTGTTAGTAACTATCATCCAAGAACCGTACTTCTCCGGTACTTGGATGATTTTCGTCGCCTCTCTTTGACCCTCGTCGTCAACATGCATCTCGGTTGCCGGCGGGGTTTCAGACGCAGCGTTCTCCGGTGGTTGGCCCTTAGAGCAGTTGGCCGAAACATGACCTACCACCCCACAATCAAAACAGATTGTATGTAGGCCTTCAAAAGCAACTTTCTGAAATTCTTCATCGACAACCACCATCGAAACCAGAGGATTACGTAGATCGATCTCGACCGCCGCTCTGGCAAATCTAACCCTTTCCACTCCCGACGTCGTTTGATCGACTTTTAGCAGAGTTCCAACGGGTTTCAGGATTTCCCTTAGCGCATCCTCACGGAAGAGTTCAACTGGCAACCCCGGAAGACGCACCCACACTGCCATCCTCTCCAGCCTGGCTGTTTGGGGATTGTAGTTTGGACGCCATCTTTGCGGGATGACGTAGCATCCAAAGATCTTCCACGGTCCGCCCAATAGCACATGTTTATAGTCAGCAGCCATCCCAAAACGGGCGATGTAATGCCCCATCCCAAGATCAAGGATTTCAACCTTACCTGATAGGTTCCATAATCGCATTAAGCGTTGTTGGATTATCGGAAAGGCTGGGGGCTTGCCAAGGAATCTTAGAATAAGCGATTTTCGCCATGGTTTCTCTAGTTCAGCACGGAGCTCTTTAGAGAGTTTCACAACTGGAATGCCTTCGTAGATGACATTCCACGTTTTAACCGGTTCTGTCGCCAACTCCACGTCTAGCCAGTCATCGTCCACAGATTCAGCCATGCCATGATCATCCAAGGTTGGGGATGACACAGCTGCTTCAGCAAAAGATCTTTTCAGAATCCTTACCCGCTTTCTCGCCGGTGATGACCTTCCCACTCCCCCTTCCCCGTCCGGAGGGAAAGCCGACGGCGGCACTACGGCCGCTGCCTCCATGGAAAGTCAGACAACAACGGCAACTTACCAAAGCGAGCGCAGATAAGAGAGGAAAAATAATACACATGCTTAGGCTTTTACATGATAAAAAGATGTAAGGGTAATATATAAATTCATGAAGTATCTATTCTCCCAAAAGTGTGAAAAATAAAATACATATTAAAGAATTCACTACAAGAAAAATGCACATAGATAACACTAGAAAGACAACAGTTTTTGTCTTTTGTATAAAAGACAACAGTTTGGTTCAAAATCGTTGTCTTTGATGCAACACTTTTGTCATAAACAACGATTTTTATTTAACCGTTGTTATAAGTGTGTTGTCTTTTTGCATTTTGAGAAAAGACAACACTACAACGACAACGGTTTTTAAAAACCGTTGTCTATGTGCATTTTTTTTTAGACAACGGTTTTATTTAACCATTGTATTTGATATGTTGTCTTTAAGTGTACTTAAATAAACGACACTACAAAGACAACGGTGTTTTAAAATCGTTGTCTTTGTGCATTATTATTCTTTTAAAAGACAACGGTTTTATTTAACCGTTGTCATTTGTGTATTGTCTTTAATAACACTTGAATACACAACACTACAAAGACAACGGTTTTATAAAATCGTTGTTGTTGTACGTTCTTTATTTTTTTAAGACAACGGTTTTATTTAACCGTTATCTTTGGTATGTTGTCTTTAAGTGCACTTGAATAAACAACACTACGAAGACAACGATTTTTTAAACTGTTGTTTTTGCGCATTATTTTTTTTAAAAAAGACAACAGTTTTATTTAACCGTTGTCATTTGTGTGTTTTCTTAAATAACACTTGAATACACAACACTACAAAGACAACGATTTTATAGAACCGTTGTCGTTGCACGTTCTTTATTTGTTTAAGGTAACGATTTTATTTGGCTGTTTTCTTTGGTATGTTATCTTTAAGTGTACTTGAATAAATAACACTACAAAGACAACGGTTTTTTTAAAACCGTTGTCTTTGCGCATTATTATTTTTTAAAAAATACAACGATTTTATTTAACCGCTGTCATTTATGTGTTGTCTTTAATATCACTTGAATACTCAACACTACAAAGACACCGGTTTTATAAAATCGTTGTCATTGCACGTTCTTTATTTGTTTAAGACAACGGTTTTATTTAGCCTTGTCTTTGGTATGTTATCTTTAAGCGTACTTGAATACACAACAGTACAAAGGCAACAGTTTTATAAAACTGTTGTCTTTGTGCATTATTATTTTATAAAGACAACAGTTTTATATAACCGTTGTTGTTTGTGTTGTCTTTAAGAACACTACAAAGACAACGGTTTTATATAACCGTTGTTGTTTGTGTGTTGCATTATTATTTTATAAAGACAACGGTTTTATATAACCGTTGTTGTTTGTGTGTTGTCTTTAAGAACACTACAAATACAACGGTTTTATAAAATATATTAAAAATGCTACCAGCAAAGGTCGAACTTAAGACCTCCAACATAGCACGCAAGGCTCAACACATCAAGCCACGCCAAATAAGGTAAATTATGAAATAAATTATATCATCAACCAAACAAAGTAAAAACATATTTTTCCTCAAATTTACAAGGCGTTTGGTTCGCTTGAAAATAATTTCTATGGAATTGAACTTCCTAAAGTTGGAGAAGAAAATATTTATCCATTGTTTGGATGATAGATTTTTTTTTTTCAAAGATATTTGAATATCTCGAATTTGAGGAAAATGATATGATTTATTTATTCTTTTTGGTATTTTTTTTCGTAACAATTGTGAATAAATGCTCACCGTTTTTTTCGTAACGGTTGTGAATAAATGCTCACCGCTTTTTTGTAATGGTTGTGAATAAATGCTCACCGCTTTTTTCGTAACTAATTAGCCCTAGCTGCGCCGCTTCTTTATCTCTACTTGCTTCTTTTACCAATGTTACATGTTATCTCCTGATTCCTTCAATCAACGCTACAGTTTCGTTGCTAGAACTTCGCAAGTCACAACACAAGAAATATCTTGTTGCTTCTTACTTTTTTGGTAATTTCGCGTTTCTCTTTATTTGTTTGTGTGATTTGTGCTTAATTTTTATAATTTTTGTTGTTATTTTAATATTGAGCTATCTGCTAGAATTTGTGCTCGAAAACTAATTCAGTTTTGCTACTATGAAAATTTGATTTGTTCTTATTTTTTCTTATTATTTGCTCAAATATGATTGCAAGCTTTGACCTCAAAGAATATATAATTGATAACCTGAGGGTGGTGATTTAGGCTGTGTTTGAAAACCCAGAAAATGATTTCTGAAAACCATTTTTTGAGTTTTTCATGTTTGGATGGGGTTGAAAAATCCAGTCAACGAGAAACACATTTTTCGTTGATTGGAAAAAATCAACCCAATTTGACGGAAAATAACTTCCACCAAAATTCCGGAAACTAGAGAGAAGTTCTCTCTGGTTTCCAATGAAAACCGTAAAAATAATAATAATAAATAAATAAATAAAATAAAATTGAGAGGAAGAGAGGAACTCTAGTTTCCGAAGGCGGAAACCAGTCTGGTTTCCGGCTGTGGAAACCAGAGAGAAGGGAAACCAGAGATCGAGAAGTTCTCTCTGGTTTCCACCGTCCTTTTTTTGTTTTTTGTTTTTTTTTTTTTGTTTT